GTTTACAGTAAGTCTTGAAATCAGGTAGTCTAGTCTTGTTCTTTGTCTCTTTCTAGGTGTTTTGGCTACATCCTTTTTTTTCTTTTTTACTTTTAAACCATGTCTTTATAATTATAGTGTACAGCATAATAGTTGGGATTTGCTTTTTTATCCATTCTGATTATTGCTGCCTTTTAATTAGCGTGTTTAGACATCTAGCTGTCCTGTCTATTTTTTGCAAGTTTTCCCCCTTTGCTTGCTTTCTTTTGGGTGAAATCAGTATTTTTCATTAGTGCATTTTGTATCTAACCAGTTGCTGTCAAGTCGATTCCAACTCATGGAGACCCCATGCGTGCAGAGTAGAACTGCATCATAGGCTTTTCAAGGCTGCGACTTTTTGGGAGCAGATTGCCAGGCCTTTCTTCCAAGGCATCTCTGGGTGGCTTAGAACCACCAACCTTTAGTCAGTAGTCAAGTGCTTAACCATTTGCACCACTAGGGACTTTACAATTGTCTTATTAGCTACTCTTCCACCAACCATTACTGTCTTTGCTAATTCCCTCATCTCTGTCATTTCTGGGTCTGTTTCTATTTACCTATTTTTTCTTACTGCCATAAACCAAAACAAAACCCATTGCCGTCAAGCTGATTACGACTTACAGCAACCCTGTAGGACAGAGTAGAACTACCCTATAGGGTTCCCAAGGCTGTCATATTTACAGGAACAGACTGCCACATCTTTCTCCCTCGGAGCTGCTGGTGTGTTCATACTGCCGACCTTTCAGTTAACAGCTGAGCGCTTAACCACTGTGCCACCAGGGCTCCTCAGCTCTTATTGCTATGGGTTATATTTTCCAGCTTCTTTTTTTTAATTATTATTTTTTATTGTACTTTAGATGAAGGTTTACAGAACAAACTAGCTTCTCATTAAACAATTAGTACACATATTGTTTTGTGACATTGGTTACCAACACCATGACACGTGAACACTCTCCCTTCTCTACCTTGGGTTCCCTATTACCAGCTTTCCTGTCCCCTCCTGCCTTCTAGTCCTTGCCCCTGGGCTGGTGGGCCCCTTTAGTCTCGTCTTGTTTTATGGGCCTGTCTAATCTTTGGCTGAAGGCTGAACCTCAGGAGTGACTTCAGTACTGAGCTATAAGGTTGTCCGGGGGCCATACTCTCAGGGTTTCTCCAGTCTCTGCCAGGCCAGTAAGTCTGGTCTTTTTTTGTGAGTTAGAATTTTGTTCTACATTTTTCTCCAGCTCTGCCCGGGACCCTCTGTTGTGATCCCGGTCAGAGCTATTTTCTAGCTTCTTCACTTGTCTACTTATTTTTTAATTGAATGCTCTTGTTGTTGAGTGCTGTTGAGTCAATTTCGCCTCATAGGGACCCCATGTGGCAGAGTAGAACTTAGTTTCCTAGGCTGTAATCTTTACTGAAGCAGATCGCCAGGTCTTTTTCTTATGGAGACTCTTGGTGGGTTCAAATCTCACACCTTTCGGTTAGCAGCCAGGCACTTAACTATTGAATGCTAATCAGTTGAAATTCAACTTAAGTTAATAAATCCTGGGTTTAGTCATTTTCCTGTAGAAAATATTGGACTTTGTTCTGCCTGGCAGTTAAATTACTTGTGGATTTTTTTGATCACCTCGAGGCTGAAGAATCTCTTTTAGGGTGGGTTTGGAATAGACTCTAGGTGTGTTTAGCTCTACAAAAAGGTGTTACTCTTCCCAGGCTGAGCTGAACGCCCCGTGTACTCAGTGAGTTCTTCCCACCTTGGCGGGTGGGTTCCCCAGGCATTCCCAGAGCCGCGGGGGCTCCGGACCTTGTTGCCGAGCAGTTGTTCTTCGGCTGCTTCGTGGAGTTTGACCGTTGTGTGTGCAGTTTGATATTTAGCCAAAGATTCAAGGGGAGCCCTTTGAAAATGGAAGGGTTCCTTCTCTGTGTAGCTCCATTCTCTCCAACACTCTACTCGGCGAATTCTAGTCAACCATTGTGATCATAGGGTTTTCATTAGCTGATTTTTGGAAGTTGATCACCAGGCCTTTCTTCCTAGTCTGTCTTAGTCTGGAAGCTCTGCTGAAATCTGTTTGGCATCATAGCAACATACAAGCCTCCACCGACAGATGGGTGGTGGCTGCACGTGAAGTGCATTAACTGGAAATCGAACCCGGGTCTGAACCACCACTGCCCTCTGGGGAGGCTCTTGGGCTCTGGTTTGGCTTCCCTTCCCTGGGCTGTAGGCTGGAGCTTGCCTCTGGGCAGAAAGCCGGCACGACTGTAGGGTTCATTCTGTGCGCTTCCCTTCTCGGGAGGATCACAGCCCTGTACTGTCTGTGGCCGATGCCCAAAAGCCATTGTTTCGTGTATTTTGTCCAGTTTTCCAGTTGGGAGGTCAATTCCCATAGCGGTTCCCTGCCACCTTCCTGCACCAGCTGGGCAGGAATCCATCGCACGGCATTCCAGAATTTACTCCTCCAGTTCCCCGTTCTCCTGCGTATAGTTGTGTAATCTAGGGCAAGTTACTCAACTCTGTCACCATAGATCCCGGAACCTCACAGCAACAGAATCCTGTAGTGTACACTTTTTGTGTCCGACTTTTTTTGCTCAACATTAACCCCCAACACCAAACCTGATGCCGCCGAGTCAATTCCGACTCATAGCGACCCTAAAGGACAGAACAGCACTGCCCCATAGGGTTTACCAAGGAGTTGTTGGTGGATTTGAACTGTCGACCTTCTGGTTAGCAGCCGTAGCTCTTCACCATGGTGCCACCGGGGCTCCTGCTCAACGTTGTCTGCATAATTCACCCATTTTGTTCTGTTATCAGCAACTTGTTCTTCTCATCGCTGCGCAGTAGTAGCCTACCATATGAAGATGCCATGACTTATTTTTCCCTTTTCTGCTGATGGACATTTGGGTTATTTGGGATTTCTGTCTATTATGAATGAAGCTACTGTGAATCTTCTTATACGCGTCAATGGTGCACATATTCACGCATTCCCGTTGGGAGTATACCTATTAGTGGAATCCTGGATCGTGGAGTTGGCTGTAGTAGATCCTGTTAAACAGTTTTCCCAAATATTGTGCTATTTTACATTCTGGCCTGGAGCGTACGGGAGGAGAGTCCTAGGAGCCCCACATTCTTACAACACTGGACATTGTCAGTCTTTCTCATTTCCGTCACTCTCCTGAGGGTGTAGAGCTGTCTCATTGTAGTCCCCGGGTGGCGCAAACGGCTAAGCACTCTACTGCTAGCCGTAAAGGTTGTCAGTTTAAACCCAGCCCGAGGCGACTTGGAAGATAGGCCGGGCGATCTCCTTCCAAAAGGTCTCAGCCTTGAAAACTCTGTGCAGCGGTTCTACTCTGTACACGTGGCGTTTCCGTGAGTTGGCAGTGAGTGGATGACTACTAACAACAGCAGTACCGTCCCTGACGACTAATAACGCAGAGCATATTACTACATAAGGGGCCCTGGTGGCCAGTGGTTAAGAGCTCAGGCTGCTAACCGAAAGGTTGCCAGTTCAAATCCACCAAGCCACTCCGTGGAAGCCCTATGGGACAATCCTACCCTGTCCCATAGGGTCCCTAAGAGTTGGAATCAACTCGATGGCACATAACAAGAACAACATTATTGCATAAACATATAATACGCGTATGCTTATTGGCCATTTTGAGGTCTTTTTCGGTGAAGTGACGTTCAAGTCTTGCCATGTGTCAACGGGTTTGTCTTCTTCATGATATTGTAGGAGTTTTTGTTTTGATTTTTGTTTGTTTAACTGTATTTCGAATATGAGATGTAAGTATTGCAAATACCTTATTCTCGTTCACTGCTGTATGTCTCTGCCCCCTACTGTGCCTGGCGCACAATTGTTGTTCTGTACCGTCCAGTCGGTTCCGACTCATAGCGACTCCACGAATGACAGAATGAAATGTTACCCGGTCCTGTGCCATCCTCACGATCGTTGCTGTGTTTGACCCCATTGTTGCAGCTACTGTGTCAATCCATCTGGTTGAGGGTTTCCCTCTTTTTTGATACTTTACCAAGCATGATGTTCTTCTCCAGGGATTGGTCCCTCCTGATAACTTGTCCAAAGTAAGCAAAACAAGTCACGCCATCCTCATTTCTAAGGAGCATTCTGGCTGTACTTTTTCCAGGACGGATTTGTCCGTTCTTCTGGCACACAGTAAACCTTCAATAAGTGGTTACAGAATGAACGTGTTGGAGTCCTAGCTCTGGGCCTCAGTTTCTTCCTGTGGGAATGTTAATCTCTGACTTGCCCATATCACAGGATTTTATGTGGCTTCCTGAGAAACAAAGGCTTCCTTCACCTCACCGCCGGGTTTGGAGGTTCGCAGGCAACGTCAGCGTTGAGATTCAGAGGAGGCGGAGCTGGGTCCTTCTCCAGGAACTCGCGGGCCAGCTCCACGTGGGCGCCCCGCCTACAGCACGCCCCGCCCACGCTGTCACTTCGCTGAGAGGCGTGGCAGAGACGGGTCTCCCAGGGGGCGTGGCTATAATCCGCGGGGACGTTCGTGGAGTCTCGGAGGCCACTGACCAATGACGAGGCAGAAACCCACAGGCAGGGGGCGGGCCAAGCAGAAGAAGGGGGCGGTGGCCGCGTTCCCATTGGGAGGCCCGGGGTCGTCAGGGTAACGTTAGGGGGCGGGCCTTCCAGGGGAGGCGGGGCTTCCGGGGGCGGGACCGCGCGGCTGGAGCGCCCGCGTCAGCTGACCTGCCGCCATCTTGTGCGCCTTTTGCAATCGGTCCCAAGCGGGAGCGGGGCGTTTGGTGGCCGCAGGCGCCGCCGCCGCCTGCCCGGCCTCCACC